TTTGTTCAATTATCTTTGTAGAGATCTAGTATAGAGCTGTATGAAATGAGGCACAGATTGTGTAAAGCGCTTTGAGTATCTCGGTAAGATAGAAAGGAGCTATATAAGTACAGTCCATTTGCATCTTTCAAATCTTTAGATCTGTTTACAACCTTTGACAGCTCCTTTCACATTTTGTTCACTTTCAGCTTCTTTTAGCTTCCTTGTGCAAATTTACACAGCTTGTCAGCTAATTTCAGCTAATTTCTCAGCTGTTCTTTTTGCTTCTTCTAACTTATTTCTGCTCATTTCTGCTTGTTATGCTATTTTCAGCTTATTTATGCACATTTCAGTATTTTCTGTTATTTCAACTACTTAGTGAAATAGTAGATATAGCAGCTAAACAGCTGTTTTATGTTAATTTTAGCCTTTTCAGCTAATTCCACATTTTTTGCACCCATTTAAACTTTTTTCAGCCTAATTCATCAAAGATGTGCTCTCTCCACATCCGTCTTGTGATTCAAGCTTCTTTGTGTCTTTTTAGCTACTTTCAGCTGTTTTTTTTTTTTCAAAATTCAGCTTTTTGCAGATAATTTCAACATTTTTGTGCTCATTTCTGCTTCTTTCAGCCTAAATGGGCAAACATGTTCTTTCTGTGTTCTTCTGCTTGTTCTAAACGTTCAGCTGTCTTTTTAGCATTCTAGCTAATTTCAGCTGTTTTCAGATAAACTCAAGTTTTTCATGTTACTTTCTGCTACTTCCAACCTAATTAACTCAGTTCTGCTAAATTCAGCTTATTGTGCTCCTTTCAGCTTTTTTCTGGTAGTTTCAATTATTTCTGCTCTTTCAGCTACTTTTTAGCTCTTTTGAAGCTAATTTTAGCTTTTTCAGCTAATTCCACATGTTTTAGCTCATTTAATCACTTTCCACTTCCTTCTGGTAGTTAAATTTTTTTTTCTGCCTTTTCAGCTACTCTTCAGCCTTTTTTTTAGCTAATTTCCTTGCTGATGATTGTTGATTATTTAAACCTAATTCAGCAACTATGTGTTATTTCTGCTTTCTTCTGCTAATTAAGGCTTGCTCTTCCATTTCATCTACAGTTTCATTGTGATTTTTTTTTAGCTAACTTCAGCTGTTTTTCAGCAAGTTCTGCAATAATCATTCACAATGCGTCTTCACAGGAAAGGCACTTTCTCTAGTTAATCCCACATTGGTGTCTGCATGAAGCTGCAGGTGAACAAAAAGTTAAATGTCACAGAAGAAAATGATTGATAAATATATCAAAGAGGCAAAAAGTAACAAATGATCAAATGAAAGAATTGAAGCTGCAAAAATCAGATTAATCTAAAACGGATTTGTAGATCCGCTTTTGGGAAATAAATCAGTTAAAAAAAGGTTCTGACCTGTTTGAGAGTCCAGCAGGAACCTCCGGTCCTCATTCCCTGAGATGATGCTGTACTTGATGAGATCCGGGCCGCCACCGTCTCTGGTGAGGGCGGAGACACTCAGAACCTCGGACCCGACCGCTAAGGATTCTGGGAGCTGGGCAGTGTACTCCGAGCTCAGGAAAACCGGCTGGTAGTCGTCCATTGAGACCACGTCCACGGTCACCGTGGCGACGGAGTAAAGGTGACGAGGCAGGCCGCGGTCAGTGGCCTTCACCTTCAGCTCAAATGTGGGCGGTGTGTCAGAGGTCAGAGGTCGCTCCAGACGCAGGACCCCTGAGAACTCATCCAGAGAGAAGTAGCCTCCATCACCTGTCAGCAGGGTGTACCTCACCTCTGAGTTTATCCCTGAAAACACACACGGTCGTAGATTTGAACAAATTAAATCATAACTTTGACCTCGGGGAACAGAAATGATGAAAACTATTTTTTTTTAAATTAACGGTCAGCTGACAGGAGTGTTTAAAACAATACAGACTTCTAAGACTGGTCGTGAAAATTTATGATTTTCATGCTTTTATTTCTATCCTGCAATGACAGATTAGAATTATTGTGAATTTAACATAAATAAATAAATAAAATAAGACCTGATTGATTTTTACAACATCAGTTGATATCACAATTTAAATTTATTAATAAAAAAAATAGATTTCAGACAAATTTAGAACTTTCCAAAACAAGTTTTTTCATCTAAATATGCACAATTCATGGAATTTATGAAATATTTTTTCTGAATTTACTCACAAATCAGTTGTTTAGTTGTATTGAGAATGATCATTAGATTCAGATCACATTAAATAAATTATTTTAATTAGAGATTATTGTTACTGTATAAAAGAGCTGTTGAATATTTTTTTCCTCAAGAATAAAAAAAAAATCAAAGTTTCGCTGTTTGCTTCGAACGTTCTGCTCATCCGATGCTCGCATGAGCTTGTAAAATAAATCAAAAGCTCGAAGAGAGACAATTATGAAATCGAGCAAAAACAAATCGGTTCATTGTTCTCTCTGCGCAGCAGGAAGCATCTAAATCAGCCTCGTTACTGAAGAAAACACAACGATGCATCGTTTATGGTTCAGCTGTTGGAAAAAACAGAAATGTGTGCGATCAGTGGTGATAAAAAAGGCCTAAATGAGCCAAAAACATTTTTTGTTGTTTGATTCAAAACACAGATAACTGTAAATATAAAGAAACAAAAACAGATAAGTGCCAACAGATCATCCGTTGGATCTTTAAGAGTTCGCTGATTTTCTCTGCTGAGAAATAAATCATAAAGTGACGGGTGCAGAGACGCCAGCAGACAGATCTAACTCCGTGTCTCGTCTGTGAGAAAGTTGTGGGAAAACAAGCTGCTGCACATCGGAAGGCGTGGCTGGACGTGCCCGTTTCTCTGCGCAGCAGCTGTTTCACGGCCGCACTTCGGCCTCAGTGTCTAAACTCTGACTTGAGTCAATGCAGCTCGGATCACAGTAACTGATTTAAACGCTCGGCGGGTTGTTTGTTATGAGAAGATGCTGCTGGAAGTAGTTTCCACTTGGCACACAGCCTGGACTCACGGATATGAAACACTGATGACGACACGGTTTATTCACTTCCCGCAGATTTATTTATTTATTCTCACAAATAGACCAGATGAGGTTTGAATGACGGTTCAGAAACAGCTAAAATAATATCTCAAGGAGGGATATGACCCACTATGATATTTCATATCACGCTCACCTTCACAAGGGGAGACTTTTAAAATTCTTGTTTGCTACGACACTTTTCACACATTAGTGTGTGTATGTCTGCCTATGTACAGACTATGATTCATTTCTTTGTTTCTCTCTTTTGTGTGCTTTAAAAAAAAGAAACTCTCTGCTAATATATGATCACCAGGCTCTTAGGATGTTTGGTGATATTGGAAAATTTGGACTTTGGAAGCCAAAAAACATCCCTCCCACCATTCCTGTCAGGTCACTGAAATGCAAATCTGATGAAAAATAGTCTCATGCAGAAACTAAAATGGAAATGTTTTCTTTTTCCTTATTTTTTTTAATTAATAAAATAAAAAATCTATCTATCTATCTATCTATCTATCTATCTATCTATCTATCTATC